TCGATTGCCGGTCGGGAGTTGGAATAGGGGTAATACATAAGACTTCCCACTATTCACTGGAAAAACTAGTCTTCTCTAGTATATTGAAGTTCTGAAGGGTAATAGGTGCCCGGATCGATTCTTCCGGCAGCCCCTGGTTCTGTGCGCTCCATGTAAGGATCGAGCCCACGGTACGCACCAAGGTCACCCTTCCATGGAGATAAAGATAGAAGGGTATAAACTTTTGCCAGCATCGTTCTTTACTTATGCCTCATTGAGCGCTGTTCTGAAAGTTTCTAGTTTAGCCTTGGCGTTGTGTCGTTGTCCTTCGGCAGGACTTCTGGGTCAGGACAGACCTCGCTTCAGGGGGAGTGGTCTTCGGAAATGGCTTTCATATGTTGGATCTCTTTTATCCTGTTGTCAAGTTGGTTGTTTAATCTTCATGGTTCGTCTCGTGGTGGCACAGTCCATGGAGACTTCGCCATTGTGCTTCGAGGTTTGGAACGGTCGAGGTGAAGCGCTTCAGGGAGGGACTGTGGTGCAAGATCACTGCCTATCTGTATATACAGCGCGTCAGTATGAGGTGCAGCAGCTTTGGAAAGGAGATGTTCTTCGGGACAGGCTCAGGTTTGCCCTTTGTGGTACTGAAGGTCGAGTTCTCCGGAGACAACACAAAGATCCGTGGCTGCTTCACAAGCCGCTGGCTCCGCGAGCACACAGAATGTATCTGCGACCCCACATTAGCGTTGTATGAGCTGGTCTAAGTGTAGGGAATGCTTCCCTTAGTGGGAATCTCAAAGACGGTCGCGAGCAAGCAACAGAAGACCAAGCGGGGGATGCACGAGGCCATACAAACTGAGGAGACGGATCTAGAAGCTTCTTGCCAATATTAAATCAATATTTGTGATTTCAAAAACAAAATGCATCATTGTTTGTCTACAACAAATCGGTATCAAACGAAAAACAAAGGAGTGACGGCGGCGCCTAGGGAGGGTGATACACCCGATCAAGCGGTTCAGTGGTTAATCCCCTGAACCCCAAAGGTTTTAGTGCTTCCTGTGCTGCCTTCCTTTCTGGGTTTCCATCCTATAAAAGACCACCCGCTCTTCTTCCCCTCTCCTCTTTTCTCCTTCCTCACAACAAACACCACAACTTGTCATCCCCCTTTTCTATCCCAACAAGCCTTCCATCCATCAACAAGGCCTAGCCGTCCAGTATCGGGCTTTCACAAGTCATCAAACAACCAGCAAATTTAAGCCTGATGCTGGACGGCCCCCAAACGGTGCACCGATGGCCGCAACACAGGTAACGCCGCCCTTCCGGTCTTCTTTGATCTTGACGTGAACACACTGACTCCTCGACAGCCACTACCAACATTTCAAGTGGCCATCGGTGCACTCGGCTAGTCCATGCGGGCAATCCGGTGAGTTCTTGATATTGTGCTTGATGCCGCCAACCTGGCTGACTTCTCCAGCATGGACTAAGCCAATGAAGCATGGCTTCTCTTGATTATTGGGGCCAGATTTTAGTCGGATCTTCATGGCGGGTGGGCAGGGCGTCAACAAACATCGTTTCGCCTACTAGATGCCCTGCCCGCCACTCGAAGCCCAGAAGGGGGTCAAGGTAAGAACCATCTCATCTGCATCGTTTCACTCATGGCTAACGGTGTCTCTGGGATAGTCGCCGGGACGCTCACATGAGGGAAGGTCTCAAGTTCTCTTTCACTCCGGTTGTCCATCATGGCGCATCATCATCATTGCAAGACATTCTTCTAGCCAACGCTCCAAGTCCAGGGAGCCTACCTTATATCACCACATAGAACTCACTTCAGGGCTGTCACCAAGTGCGGCAGAATACAGTGACGAAGAGTCAAAAGCACATCATTACAACGGCCCGATAACTATCAATTCTCCTCTTTGTCTTGCTCCCATATCTCTTCGTTCAAGGTATACATTATAACTCAGGGGTAACGTGCCATCAGCTAACACATATGTAGATAGTACGAGAAAACGTTTGCAATGAGTTCTTGCTACCAGATAGATCAAAGTCAATAGGACTTCAAGGAGCCACTTGAGAGTGGACGCATACCCTCGGACCAGGAGCAATTGCAAGCCACAAGAGATTCCTTTCGGCAGTCAGCATGTAACGCATCACACACTTCAGTGTATATGCAAGTGGCAAAATTCTTCGAAGCCTCTATCAACAGAAACCGCCAATCTTAGCGAAAGAAATCTCGCCACCAATCTCCGACTTGTCTCACTGCCCACTTTTCCTCCAGGGAACCTGTCAGGTATCTTCTCATGCCAGCCGGCAAATCAGTTTGCCTCTTACAGCTTCGCTGGGCCTTTATATCCGTACCTCCCTCTCTTTGCCACTGTCCCTCTCTGAGCTTCTACCTTAAGACTCGATTACAAGCTTTCAGGCAAAACATGCCCAGCTACAAATGGCATATCTCCGATACTCTAGTCCTCAACATATGGATATGGGAGATACATCCTGCACTTCTACCTTCCTTCTCTTTTGTTTGTTCTGCAATTTGTTCTCTCGGCTTGCAATTCCCTCGCAGCTGTCTCGCTCCCTTCTTCCAACCGCAACAAGCCAAGTCCAGCCTTCACACTTGCAATTATAGGATCACCGTCAACTGTTATGGCTAGACATAGAGGGTCTTGAATAGCTGTCGGCACGTTTGTGTTTAAGCATGATGCATAGCTTTTGGTGTTTGGGAGAGAGTTATCAACTGAGGGACTAACGAAATCGTGGAGGCATATGGTGTTATGTCTGAAAACTGTTTTCTGCTGTCTTATGTTAACTTGAGATGACGAGGGTCTTTCGGAATGCACAGTGGTGGAAGCAAAGGGTCTGCCAGGGAGTCGTGTCTTTAACTACAGTCTCTGAAAAGTACCTGGTTGGATCCAGGGGGTGGGAGACTAGGGGAGGACAGAAAACTCGGGACCTCGATCCTAAATGACAAAAAGACTTAGAAAACTTTATCCTAAACTTATTTCACTCTTTACTGAGGTTATATTAGCACCGTCTTCTAAAGTCTTATGTTTTCTTGCTCCCTATGAGGAGAATAACCTATCTTATATTGTGTCGCCTTCTTCAATGAATCATAATTTAATTGTAAGCTACATGGCTAGAGATCTTCTTCTGCTAACTCTCTTATTGCACTTCATCGAATATTCCTGGACTACAGATACACATCGGTTAACCATAGCATTATTTGCATGAGGTGTCTGTCCTGCCGATGTCAAGGCCAGTCACAGCCTCACAAGTCAGCACATACCATTAATTGCTACAATTCAGGTCCATTTCCGTTGAGATTGACTTGGTGAGAATTGCAGCACTCGGCAGCAAACTAATCATCATCAAGCTTGTGATCCACAGCATACTCGCCTATATGAAGGTACTTGGAAGTCTACTTGTATGCTAGGCGCTCCCTGGTAGCCCGTGTTAGCTTAACTTCTTGCACAGAGTCTTCAACTTAAATGGCGCGCACTACAGAATTATGCCTCTCTATCAACTTGCCTCCCTGCGGTACAGCCAGCACATCTCTGAGGTTTATAATGAGGTCATTGTGACTGTGCCGTTCCTGGTGCGATGGAGCGCTTTGTCTTGAACTTTTCCCCAGTTTCATCAGCTAATATTTTCCCTGTACACGACAGATACAAGCTATCAGCCTCACACATAGGCAAACGTAGAAGTTCGAGCGCCTCCCGTCAGACGACGATCGACACCAGAAATCTTGCGATTACCTTCCTCAAGTCACTACAATGCGACACTCACTCCGAAACGTTACCTCACTCGGTCCAACGAGGTATTACTCATGTGCTATACGCCTCATACAAGAAGGGCTTTCCCATCGAATATCCTCGCTTACCTGGGAATGTCCGAAAGAGAGCCTCTCTATTCCATAGGCCTTCCTGCCGAATGGTTCGTATGGCTGCTCTTACACGACGTCCCCAGCTCTTATTATCCTATCCTCGCCTGTATTGAGCCTGAAGGCAGATGTCTAACGACTACGGCATCCTCCTCCCCTCTATCCCTGGATTCGAATCATCAGGCACGGTAATCCTACAGCGTTGGAACATAGTGGAGGACCGACACTAATTTGGCATGCAAGACGGCCAAGGCGCAGACCTACAGATCGAAAGATTCTAATGGAGGCGTTCCTATAGCAGTGAGGTCCAAAGCGACGGAGAATCAAGATACGGCTGGAAGCTTGTCCGGCTGGGCCACGGAGCCGAAGAGCCTAATGAACACAACCCCAACGATGAACAAGACGGGGGAAATGAAATTACAAATGACTGTCACAAGGTTGTGGCTGTGTGGGCTGGAAGCAGTGATTGTAAATTTTCAACTTGTTGGTAGTGGTGCCACGGGTGAACAGGGTATGCAGTGGAATATCATGGCACTTATGAGTTTTCCGCTCCTGGCAGAAAATTATCCATGATGATATTACTATTGCTATCACCTATTAGTGTTGGAAGATAGAAGGGATTGAAATATTGAGGAGGTTCTGGTGTGGGAATCTTGGTTGAGCAGATGACATGAAGTTGATATGCAAAGACACAAACTGGCAAAGCATTGACACAACAAGTCATCACCAACAATTAATAAAACGTGATATTGTTCAATCAACACAAATTTCGTATATTCTATCAAAGTTGGCTCCCTCCCCGAGTTACTAGAGTCTCGGCCTCATACTCATGCAAGGGTATGCATGCTGTGCCTTACACCAAGCTCAGATGGGAACTGGCCGGGTCTTGAGGTCACAAAGAGCACTCTAAAAGGCTCTTGGTACCAAACATGATGTGCTATGCAATTCCTAAGCCTCAAAATCATACCAATTGTCTGGAAGCTCGTCCCGTTTACCCGCAGGCGAAGAGACAGCTGATAGTTCTCTGGATATATTCCTGATCAAACTGTATATAAACTCCAGGATATCACCAGTACATGAAATATAATCAATCGCAACAACTTCACATTATTAGAGTACTAGAGATCATTCTTCAGTCAACATGCCTACTGCTACCGAATACTTTGGCATGTCTGTCAGCAATATTGGTCCTCTCACTACGACTTACACGCCTCCTCCAGAGTGCACTAGGGCAACAACCGATCATCTTGTCTATGCCCTCGAGAGCTCCTTGGTTTATGGATTTGGTTCTCCTGATTGTGTGATTGACCCTTATGGAAAATGTCTTCCCTCTGGGGCTGCCATGGATTCCATCATCAAAGAGTACAGTAACCCAAAGTCTGGACAAGGCCTTCATGCATTTCACTCTCCTGGAATCCACTGCCCTGAAGGTTGGACTACCGCTGGACTACTTGCACACGGCGATAAGACTGGCTCCGCGTATAGAAGTGGTGTATTTACCTCTACAACGAGCGTGAACTCATCGCAACCTCTGCAGATGGGCTCTGATGAATGGTGGCTCAAAGTCTTGGAGCCTTCCGAGACCCTGGCGTGGTGCTGCCCCAAGGTATGTCGGCCTCTCAGACAGTCTATTCTACTGTACACTAAATCCATGGCTCGTAGCGGCTGGGCTTCTCTCCCCTACGGATATTGTAGGTCCTCCATTGCCCCTGCTCTTTCAGCCGGTTACAACAGCGCTTGTTATGAGGCAGTCGCCGAAACCGCGGCCATTGTCACCGTCCACACCGTCGAGGGTGAGTCTGTTTCTGATACAGACGGGCTTCTCTCTCTCCTCCCCGACGTAACATATACTACGGAGACGGTTGCGTTGACTGAAACGTGGGGTGAGCCTACTTTTGTTGCATCATTGGTTATTGCTAGACAGTTTCCTGCGGTTGAGATGATCTACAAAGCTGAAGATGTCAAGGCTGCTAAGAATGGGTCCAAGGACGACGATGATGATACGGACGGGAAGGATAAGGACGATGATAGTGCTGCATCGACTCTGCCAAAGGTCGGAGGGATTGCCTCAGGGGTTGCATTGATGGTCGGGTTGCTGACTGGAGCCGGTCTGTTGATGCCTTGGTGAGGTGGATATTACATCGGGAGGTTTATCTTGTAGTCTGAGCACTGAATAGGGAGTTGAGTAGTATCGCGTCTTGAGGTGTTCCCTCAGCAGGTAACGCACCAAATTGAACAACATGTTTTCTTTAGACTGCAGTCGTGTCAGTTGGCACATGCGAGTTACTGTTTGGCATACAACCCACACGAAGGGTCAAGTAATACTTGGCCCAACCCACACTACGGGTATTCAGACATGGTATATGATAGACTTTACTTGTGCCGTCACCTGAGCGTTCACAGGGTGTAAAGTTACAATGCAAGCCTGGGGAGGCATCTGATGATAGCATTGTGCAGAGGAACTCACGGGCATGTGTGCGTAGTCTCCTAGTGAGGGTCTTCAGACTACCTTACTGCCACAGAGGACATCTTCCTAGTTTTGTATCAATGGTGATGGTCTTTTCCCCTGAGCGACTAGTCCATGGGGCCCGTCTCAGTGGCCTCCCCGTTAAGTCCCAATTGGTGTTGCAGAGACACCCGAGTTGGCTGTGTCGGCTTGCCTAGGTACTCATGCTTCTTTCCACCGTCTCTTAGTTACAGCACTATCCGGGTCCTTTTATCGAGACAGTCAATGTTATATTAGTTCCTAGTAGTGCTTCTATTGCTCCCAGGTCGTTGTGAGTGGCCGACTGGTGTCTTGAACCAAGCACGTTCAGTTTTACCTTGGTCACCTATAATTTGATAATACCGCCATTCCCATCTCTTAAGGGGCCTGTTAATTGCCTCTCGTCTCTCCTCCCATAAGGTTGTCCAATTGCTGCAAGTAAGGTAGGTACCTACTTGATGCCTCAGTGGCCAGGCTTCTTGCGATCGTGACGGGAAACAGACAGCCTCGTTCCTTCCCCCTGAACCAGGACATCCACCATCCTGCTCACCCACGCTCCTTCCCCCTCAAGTTCTTCGTGGCCGACCATAAAACTCGGTCCCCTCACTCCCCGAGTCCTCTTTTCTTCTTTTCTTCATCACCATCACTCATTCATTCGTTCATGTTCAGCCCAGTCTTGTACTCCCCCAGTGCCCACATGTATTTGCCCTTCTTGTACTGTCCTTTCTTCAGCGTATCCGTCTTTGCATCCAGCGTCGTCATTTCTTGTTCAGCACATTCTTGTACCCCCAGCGTTCTCATGTATCTGCCCTTCTTGTATCCCCTTGAGACTCAGATTGTTGACTTTAGTCGATGATCATCACCGTCTCACATGCCCTTGGTCAACGGACAGTCCATTCAATGGCTGAAACCGTACCCATACAAGGGCTAGAGCAATTCAGGTTGCCCTGCTAGCATCAGCCGTCTTTAAACTTACCCGGCTGAATATGCTTGCACTATAGTGACTGGCTAAATAGCCTGCTCATTTCGTGGCATTGGCTTCGGCCACTGGGCTTGACCCAGCTGAGACATTTCCCCGAGATCCCACTGTGAAGTCTACTTCAATCGTAAAGGTTAAACCATGACGTGCCGCCATTTCCAGGCTCAGTTGATGTCCAAATGTGTTTAGTAAAACTCCATTGCAGACTGTCCATCATTGCCTTGTATTAAATATGCCCCCAGTGCCAATTTGGCATCCTCTTGAATCTGTTGCGTGAAATCTCGATGAGTGAGGTGCTTTTAGTAAAGACTTGTAGAACTGGGAAACTTACACCGCCCATCCAACCTCCTGGTCTATAATCCTGTTGAATGGTGATTGTCAGCTTCACTGTAATATTCCTCCAATGTCGCCCAAAGTCGCTTGACTGATAGAGTAGACACCGGTCCCTGCGCTGCTTATCTGGTGGCATAAGGTTCACGCACTGGAGACTGGCCTGAAGGAAAAGAGGGAAACGAACAATTCAGGTCGCCCAGTCGGCATCGGGCCCTCTCACGAACCCAACATATGTTAACACCATAGTGACTGGCTAAATAGCCTGCTCATTTCGTGGCATTGGCTCGGCCATATATAGAGAAATAAGCAGTGCTGCAAAGTGTATCCACTCTCCGACACAACTTAACATTTCGTAATTTTCGCTCACCAGAGCTTGTTCTGCTGCAGCCTACATGATGATCCAACTCTGTTGTGTGGCTGTACAAGCAAGCTTTAATGTAAACCGGCGCGGTTGGCTGGGCGCAGCAGGCATCTGCTACATAGTTCTGCTCTATAGAAACACTAAACATTCGCACACAACGCATATTGGGGTGGCTTCGAGAAATAAAAACATGTTCTGTAATAAAAGTCAATTAAAGTAAAGTATACAGGCTCTAAACCCACTCACTCTCGGAACTAGAATCCAAGCTGTGCCATCTCAATCGGCAAGCTTCGACGTTGTCTCCCATCGTAGCCCACACAAGCTCAACTCTGATTGAAGTTCATCACCCACATAGTAGATGGTTCTTCCACACTAACTCGCTACAGCCTTCTTCTCCTCTATCGACAAGGTACAGGCGAATCAACAGGGCGCTGTCATATCTTGGCTACCTATGGAACATCTTGGTATCTTACTTACTCATGCACATTTGTACGATGTAAGCCATCATTCAGAACGCCAGAGTAACTGCCATTCACCCATTTGACCATTGTCGCATATAAGAGGACGAAATAATTGCTCGTCTAAATAATCGCAATGAAGCTGCCTTGTTGAGTGGTCGGTGCCGTCAACTTCCAAGCGCTGGGTTTGGTAATTAGGGACAAGCAACACATGACAATGTGTTGGCACGCGACATCTCTTCTGTATACATCCATTGTCGACACTTAATTCATAGTTTCCTACAATTCTCGTGTCCTTCAAGTACGATTGGAGCGGGATCTCAAGGTCGCCAAAGGTCATGCTCTTCGCCGCAGGAGAAGAGAGCTGTTTTTTGCCACGCCCGTCAATCTCTCCCTCCATACTGGGTGCTGAGTATATTCGACAATCGTTCTGCTGTAGCTGTCGAAAGGTGCCTCGATTGCTGGCCTCCGCAATAATCTTACACATTCAACAAAGTACACCAGGTCCAAGGCGCAGTAGCTCATATATCATCACAACGGCATTCATTATGTGGTGGTATATAAAAACGCCCTCGGCGTAACTCGTCATCCTCAATTTTTTTCACGCGTCCTCGCGCGCATCATGTGCACATTTGATCCTACACACGAATAAGTCCCTCCTCCCACACTCAATGCAATCCAGCCTCCAGCTTTTTTGTTGGTCTCTCATGCGCTGATCATCATAGACCCCAAAAGGTACTTTTGCCCGCCGGCAAAACCCAGTAAACATAAAACTCCGCAAGTAGATGGAATCAAGAAAGTTAAGAAAAAGGACACGATGGAATAGATGGTATCAGATTGGTTGCGGTTCGTGGTTAAGCTGGGGTTCAAGCTTAGCCGTGAAGACCGCAGGTACGCTCTCTCATCAGCTCACGTCTCTTCTTGTCCTTAGCTAAAGTAGGGGTTAGCATTTACTTGCATTTTGTGGAGCGTGTAACTTACCTCCGTCAAAGACGAGGAACTCATGTAGACCGGAACCGACAGGCACCATAGGCAGGACAGGGACCTTCTTGTCGGTGACAACCTCCAGAAGAGCAGGGCCGTCGGTGTTGATGAGCCACTTCAGGGCATCGACAACGTCCTCGGGTTTAGAGACACGTCGGTTTTGGACGCGCATGGCCTCGGCGAGCTTGATGAAGTCGGGGTTGCTCTGGTGAGTGTGGGCATATCGATCCTCATAGAAGATGTTCTGCCATTGTGTGACCATACCCTGCTCCTCGTTGTTAAGAACAATGACCTTGACACCAATGTTGAACTGAGCAGCGGTAGAGAGCTCAGTCAGAGTCATGTTGAACGAAGCGTCACCGTCGATGTCGATAACAAGAGCATCGGGCTGGGCAACCTTGGCACCAATGGCAGCAGGTAGACCGTAACCCATGGTACCAAGACCACCAGAGGTGATCATGGATCTAGGGTGTCTCCATCGGAAGTGCTGGGCAGTCCACATTTGATGTTGACCGACACCAGTGGCGATGTAAGTCTGGTCCTTGCGATCAGCAACAAGGTTGCTGAGCTCCTCAATCAGAGTCTGGGGCTTGATGAGGCCAGAGCGCTCGGCACGCTCGTAGTCGGTCAGGGGCCACTTCTTCTTCCACTCGTTGATCTTGCTGAACCACTCCTTGCGGTCCTCCATGGTCTTGGATTCAATCAGAGGCAGGAGTTCCTTCAGGTTGGTGGCGACATCACCCTCGATGGCCTCGGTTGCTTGAACAACCTTGTTGATGTTCTTGGGCATGATCTCAAAGTGCACAATACCTCCACGGCCCTCAGCAGCAGCGGCCTTGGCACCAGGGGCGAACTTGGCAATGCTCAGAGTAACACGGTCGTCGAATCGGGCACCGAGAGCGATGATAAGATCAGCCTCCTGCATGGCCATGTTGGCGTAAGCAGAGCCGTGCATACCAAGCATGTGCAGGGACTTCTCGTCGAGTTCGTCGTAGGCACCTAGACCCTGGAGAGTAGTGGTAACGGGGATGGAGGACTTGTCAGCGAGCTCCTTGAGGATCTCGGGGCCACCCTCGGAAAGGATGATACCCTGGCCAGCATAGATAATGGGCTTCTTGGCCTTGTTGACGAGGTTGCCGACGCGCTGGAGGGCACCCTCGAGCTGCTTCTTGGTCACATCCATAGCAGCGCGGGAAGCGGCGCTAGGCAGAGAAGGCAGGGCAGTCTCGGTAGGGATAGCTCTCCGTAGGATACCGGCAGTGACATCCTTGGGAAGATCGACGAGAACGGGACCGGGGCGACCGCTGGTGGCGATCTCGAAAGCTTCGTTGATGCGTCGAGGAAGTTCGGCAACGTTCTTGACCATGACATTCCACTTGGTGCATGCACGAGAGATACCGACAACATCGGCCTCTTGGAAAGCATCGCTACCAATGGCAGTTGTCACGACCTGACCGGTGAAGACAACCATGGGGGTACCGTCAGACAGAGCATCCTGCATAGGTGTGATGACATTTGTAGCACCGGG